TTTTGATGGACAGCCGGCTGAGCATGAGCCAGCAGTGTGCCCAGGTGGCCAAGAAGGCCAACGGCATCCTGGCCTGTGTCAGGAATAGTGTGGCCAGTAGGAGCAGGGAGATGGTCATTCCCCTGTACTCAGCACTGTACAAAGTACTCTTGAGATGGTGTTCATTGGGCTTTGCTTGTTTGCTGTTTCTATTTGTAGTTTTGCTGCCTCTTCTCACAGATTTTAACAAGTTAGACTCAGTAGGGCATGACACCATCATATTAGAAGTGAATTCTGGGTTAATTATTTTTCCAGGTTTAAGACACTGCTATATGTGTTTAATAACTTCAAAGTTCTGTCCTAGGGAGCAGTGGCTCAGTACAGAGCACTGAATCTTCAGTGTGCGTCAATCATGCATCACCAAATTTAACACGTACTGTGAACCCTCCTAAGGATTTTCTGCTTGCAGTAACTGTCAGATAGCCCAGAGTTTTTTATGTCACAATTTGTAAAAAAATCCTTTATTGAGTGAAAGTAGAGAAGTACTAATAGAAGTATTAAGAGTGATATGCCCTGAGTAACTATATCCTGATGCAGCCCGTAGAGTCTTCTTTTGTGAGTCTTCAGACAAATTTGTTCAGTTCTGTTACCTGTTGAGTTGTACATTACAATAATTCACTTTCCTCAATTAATATTTCTTTAGAGAATATATTATTCCTTTTGTTTTGTTTTGGTTTTTTTCTCTGTGTGTGAAATAATCAGCATTCTGCTGGTCCCTTGTAATGTTTGATAAAGAGGCGTTTTTGGTTCAGTGCAAACATATCTGACAAATGATATTTTTGTATGTGTCTGTTTTATGTAAATACATATTTATACACACATATAAAATGTATTTCTTCAGCATGAATCTTACTTTTCACCTTAAGGAGGCTGTGCCCTTTTTTTTGTTCCTTTTAGGAATTCTCCTGTAACTTCCAGTCTTCAATTCATTTGCTTTTAATGTGTTGTGCAGGTTTATAGAAATGCAGCCACAGTTCGTTTTTCCAGTGTCCGTGATGATTTTCTTGTCTTAGAAGCTGTCAGTGGTACTTAATACATCACTCCAAGTCATAGCATTCTATCCTTAACTGAATACCGTAAACTAAAATACAGTAAGAAATATTATCTTTACTGACAGAGAATAAAATATATATGTAGTTATATTTTTCCTGTATATTTTTTACTGATTACTGATTAGATTTCTGCTTTACTTTCATACTGGTTTTATATTTGTTACTGTTACAATTTTGTGATGGCAAATTGTAACTGCAAATAGTACTAAAAGTGAGAGGACAGTTTACATAAAACCATGAGGGAATTAAACATGCTAAAATGCAAGAAACATGAAAGTAGAAGTAAATGGAAAAATAATTCAATTTATAGTCATTTATTGCTTTGATGATGTAAGTCTCTTGGAATGATTACTGTTCTGTGTTGCTTTGGGTCAACAACAGAGGAGACTTCAGCTGTGCAAGCCCCAAAACATCTGCCTGCCTTTAACGAACTTCCTCGTACATCAATCCTTGTCTTGCTCTTTATTCCTGCAAGCTTCGCACCTTGCTACCAAAGTCTGTTATCCTCCATCTGCGTAGTTTCCATGTGCACATTCCATTATGGATTTTGTCGTTTCTTCCTGTTGAATCTGGCATTTTAAGTCAATTCTGCCAAAGCACCTCCGCTGAAAAGAGAGGAAAGATTACATGTAGCTGTGTAGCTTCTCTGACGTGTGCTGAAGGCATTTTGCTGTTTCTCAGTCTCTTCATCTGACCGCCTAAACCAGCAAAGGCCCACAGGTCCTGTTGACTTTGCTGTATAGTAAAGTGCGTAATTGTACTCAGCATCGGGGGAGAGGCACTGGGTCATTTGTCGAGGTAGCCAAGTGACATACCATTGTTTTGCAACGTTACAGGTTTTGAAAGATCTTCCTAACAGTAAGGTCTAGGAATTACTGGCTCCTTATTGAATATTCGGTATAAAAGCCCAGCTCTGAGAAAATGAATTGTTTAGGCTCTCAGGCTGACTTTAATTGCCAAGTTGATTTTTTTTTTTTTTTTAAGCCCTCTTCCAAACCATTTTCTGGAGCATTTCTTCTAATTTTGTATCAGTAAGCCTCCGGAAATAAATTAAAACCTTGAATTCACTCCAAAGCTATGTGTTATATTTAATAAGTTGTATGTCCTTGGACAAGGAAAGGGAAAATTTTGACCAATAGATACATCCAGTTCTCTTTGTACTGATAAGATTTTCTTGACATCCTATTTATAAATTACAGTATTCAGCATATGTGCACAGATTTTTTTTAATACCTGTGTTTATTAGTTTATGCTGTAACATGCATATTACAATTTCTTATTAAGTATAACATTAAATATTTTTAACATGTGGACGTTAAAATATTTTCCTCACATCTGTAGTCTTCTAATGCAAATATCCTATATGCAAGACTATTCATTTTAATAAAAAAAATCATTATTTGTTTTCTTTATTTTTTTGCTATAAATTAATCTGTAATATCAGAACCAAGAATGACATAACAAGGGAACAGATTTAACCTTATTCTGAAGTGATTGGGTTTTGGGGAACAGGATTGTAGGAAATATATAATGTGACTTAAAATCTCTTCCACAATTTTAAGGGAGTTTTGTTGGTGTTTTTAAGTGTTATTATCCAGCTCTTACTTTTACCCTGCAATTATTATTTTGCCCATCTTGAAACAGAGTACAGTGACAGTATTTTGACAGTGAAAGGCTGTCGGGTGTCACGTTAGCTTGTACATGTACTACCCCGTCCATGATTTGCAGCAGCTTAAAATACTTCCTTGTGAGTCTTTTTGCACACCTTAATGTTCCCCTGATATGATCAAAATAAATGAGCATTGAATAAATAGGTTCAAGGTAAGAATTTTAGAGTTTGAAATTGTTCTGTTTCCTGCTCTCCTTTGTTCTCAAGGGAATAGGCCTTGTTTTAATACCAGGGTTGGTGACGTCAGAAGTCTTGGGAACTTGCATTTTTTCAGTTCCTGGTTTTACCCAAGGTTTGCATCACCTACTCAGCATAAACTGAATTATATCATTATTCTAATAGTTGCGCAACATGAGACATTTAAAGCCCTCTAAATGTATCAATATTTATTTGACTTTTCCCTGCAAGAAGCTCTGTGATCCAGGTCTTTTAATTATTTTCTTTTACAGATTCTTTGCAGCCTTTCCTAGAAGCTTGCAGTAACGAATCTTTCTTCCGTACTTGCTCTGCATTGCTTCGAAGTTCTAAGCTGGATACGCAGATTCTGGAAAAGCTCTGTGTTATACTGCAAAAACTCTCCAGAATAAAGTAATCCTTTATTACCATTATTCTGATAGTTATTAGATCAGGACACTTGGGCACCTTTATCTTTCTCCTTTTTCAGAAACTCATCTCTGTTTTGTTGTTTATTTGCTGCCCCATAGATAATATTGGATTTTCTATTAGCAGTTAAATTTAAACTGTGTTTGTCACAGATGTCTAAGACTCTCAAGTCACGTATGAATCTTTCAGTTCAGTTTATGGGATACAAAGTAAAAAAACTAAGAGCCTGGCCTAAAGAGGAAACAGTCTTTATCTATACAGATGACAAGAATGCGTAGTAGAGATCCCTTTTCTTTTCCCCTGATTTTCAGTTTTACTCGGGTACTTGGTAGGAAGCTCCTTTGAAAATTTAGCCTCATCTGTGACTCATATTCAAGTTCCATCAGTTTTCATTTCCTTCAAAAACCAAATTTGAAGTCTTGAGCCATTTAGGCCCTTTTGAGAACATTAATATTTATAAAATACCGTAGAATCATAGAATGGCCTAGGCTGGAAGGGACCTTAGGGAGATATGTTCCTATTGCTTACTGGTTGTTAGTTTACCGTAAGAAGTCTTTATCATATCAGTAGTAATGTTTTGCTGAGCTCCACTGGTGCATTACTTAATGGGATTCTTTGATTTTTTACATAAAGCTGCTAACAATACTGGCAAAATTTGACTTAATTAGGAAGCAAACTGGACTTCAGGAAAAAAACAAGTTTTGTAAAATAATCTAATATAATTAATAACTTACACTGGAAATATACTAAAAGTAAAATTTCATTATACTACATGTAAATATTTACTCAAGTGAAATGATCTTTTTGTGATTTTTGCCAACTTTTCTCACCATACATTGATAACCTTTTGCTTAGAAACAGTATATGCAACACAGAATTATAACTCCCAATATAATGCACATTTTTCTTCATTAAAAAATAATTTTCTGTAGACTCTTTAGTGTTTAGATGAAACCTCTCAATTTTCAACTGACAATTATTATATGTAAAATCTTTTGCAGAAGCAATAAGAAGATGTTTGAATTATTTTCTCTTCACCAAATGATCCAAGAACTGCATAGGACTACGAATCCAGATCACACTTTCCTCTGTATAAACCTCAATTCAATTCTGTTGAATTTGGGATTGCTGAGAAATCACTCTCTTACCTCCAGTCTAAGCACATGTCACTAGCACTGTCTTTAAATCTCATTATTCTGCATAATTTATACCAATTGTGTATGTTACCTGAACTTTGGATTTTATTTTTATTTTTTTATATAACTAAATTGAGTAGGACCTCAGTACTGTAAAAGTTACTCTGTATCATGTGGAATCTCATTCATATTTCCCTCATTTATGAAAAAGAAAATGAAAAATGTGTAATATGCTAAATGGCTTTCTTCAATACTTTTTAAAGAGGTGAAATAATACTGCTGTTCTGAGTGACTTATGGCATCTAAGGAGTTGGATCCCTTGAGTAAGTGTATCAGAAATTACAAGCTTTTCTTGAAGGTATGAATCTTCGTTAACTTTGACTCGTCAGAGACTACTATAAATTCATTTATTTATTTATTTTTAGGGTTGATAAGTAACAGACACAGATCTTCTCAAATAATCTTTTGAGATTACATTTTTAATGACTAAAACCAAATTCTGATTTAAAGTGTAGAATGAGAAATTTTGTTGTTTTGATTTCAGAATGTCTCAATGTTTGCTTGATCTTTTCCAGTATTTACGTAACATTTGGTATTTTATCCTGCTTTGTATGAATTTCCAGCGTAACTTTGGCTTGTAATATCTCTGCAAAGGTAAATAAAAACATTTCTTAAAATGCCTGGCAAGAGTACTCCCTAATCTAAAATTATTATATTTTTATTTATTCCACTATATTTTATGTTAATTTGCAAAATGATCCTCACAGTACCCACATTCCTTTTCTGAATGTGATGAATACATTTTTTGTGTGCCACAGTTAAGGGTTCAAAAGTTCTTACACATAAGAAATGGGATGTTTTTAAAATTCAGCTAAGTCTTCCATTTCTGGTTTTGGACTTGTACTGTGATTACTGAAACTCTTTAATTGTAAAATCAAAACTTCAGTTAAAATTTAAAGATCTGCTGTGTGTTAGTCTTTGATTAACACTGACAGTATAAAACGTGAGAGGTTTATGTCTCATTTTCAGACTTTTTTTTCTTGGTTTTCCTTTTTATTTTTTATCGTAAGTCTTTGAACTTGAATTCTAACTGCAAATATTTTTCTAGCAATTTGACTTACATTTCTGACAAACTTTCGTATGAAAGGAGTCTTACACCAGATTTGGCACCAAGTATGTCCAGGAGAGAGAGCAAGCAGTGTGTACACTTTGGGCAGGAAACAAATTCTAGGTAATTTTTAAATAACATTAATCATAGCTAAAGGCTTTTGCTGACAATGGATTACATTTTGGAGTATTTCTTCATCAGTAGTTTTGATTTTCTGTCAGATTTACCAGCAGTGTAAAAGCTTGCATCTATCTCTGGCTGGAGAAAAAATCCTCCTACTTAGGAAGTGTGTTCCGAGTCCTCATGTGCTGTGCTTGGCCATAAAAAATATTAGAAAATTAATAACCAAAAAAACCTACAGAAAATTGTTAGGTTTCCTGTATGCAGAGGAATGTTAATTGTGCTCTTGGCTTTCAGCCTTCATCACTGTTGTTTGTCAAATTACTCATCTTCCTTGTGGTACCAATTTAAAACAATGCACACATCTAATAATGGCAAAAGTAATGCAGGAAAAGAGGTGCGTAGAGGAGGGTGTAGCTTTCACAATTGTTTCCTTGTCGTTTCTGAGCAGTTGTGTGGACATTCAGAAAAAAATGAATCCCTGTTGATTTCAATTTTTTATGATCTAGAATGTTTCTGTTACAATGCAAAAAAAAAAAAATTGAATCTGTAATGCAATTGATTGATGACCTAAGGATCAGACTAATAATTTTGATCTTAAGTAAATTTTAACTGAGCTCTGAAGAAAAATACAAGTTCTTGATTTGACATTCATATTACAGTAAATATAAAAAGTATCAGAAATAAATGAATTATGCAAAAGAGCATGAGATGTCTTGTGAATAATAGATACTTTATAAATAAAAAGGTATAGTAAAGTTCCAACATGCACATGCAACTTTTAACTCATTAAAGATTTTGAGGTAAAAAATGAAAGTCACAAATATAATGTAGTAGAGCCCTATGAAGGGTAGACTTGCAGTGGTAGACAAAATTTTTTTTTAAGCCAGCTGTTGACAGGCAATGTACACAGTAGTTCCGTAGTACATTGTAATAAAACTTTTCAGTGAAGATCTTTAAATAATACAGAATAGAGTCATAGAATCATTTAGGTTGGAAAAGACCTTTAAGATTATTGAGTCCAGCCATTATCGTAGCGATGCCAGGTCCACCACTAAACCACGTCTCTGAGCACCTTATCTGCCCGTCTTTTAAATACCTCTAGGGATGGGGACTCTACCACTTCCCTGGGCAGCCTGTTCCAATGCTTCACAACCCTTTCAGTGAAGAAATTTTTCCTAATATCCAACCTAAACCTCCCCTGGCACAGCTTGAGACCATTTCGTCTTGTCCTATCACTTGTTACTTGGGAGAAGAGACCGACCTTCACATCACTACAATCTGTCAAGTTAGTTTCCATTGAATTGCATCTTGAAATGAGCATAGTTTTATGGGATGTGTGGACTATAAATACAAGTGAAAAGATTGTCTTACAGCAATGTGATTTCAGGATCAGAGACTTCAAGGAAAGCAAAATGTGTGTCTGCCAGAAGTGGAACCAAAATGATCAGAAGTAATACACTGAAATGGAGATTTTAGATCTATTCTGTCTTGATTGGTAATTGATTATCTAAAGTAACTAATCTAACTAATAATGGTGTCTATGTTAGAAGCATAGATAACCCCACTTGCTTTTGTTGTCAACAATCAGAAGTAGGTATTAGGATAAATACTGTACCAAAATCACATTTATTTCCATATTTCTACTTCTAAATATTTTGGTATATCGGATTTTGTACACACCAGCTTGTTGCAGTGACTTGAACCTTAATTCTGTGGGCCAGCCCACTCCAGTTGCCCAACCCAGTCCATGTTGTGGCCTTGCTCAAATGTGCCCACCTGGTTGTTGCTCCCCTGAGCAACCTTGGCAGTCTCTGTGAGGAAGAGGAACAGCATTTGCTGTCTTCTGTGGATTTGTTTTGCTTGGTTTGGTTTTGGTTTGGGAAGGACATATTTCTGTCAAGTCAACCACGCTTTGGTCATCTTTATATATATAGTCTTGCCTTCTCAGATGGAATCTAGAATTTCCTGGAGTCTTTCTGCTTTTGTAGTATTTGGCTACTGTAATATGAGTTTCTACCACTTTATGCTTCTCTCAGGATAGTGTCTACAACAAGGAACATTCAAAAAGGTAACTGTAAATCCAGTTGTTTCCTGCGATTCCAAATTCCCTAAGGAAACATGGTTTATTCCTGAAAAGGGATACACTGTTTTGAATATGCCAGCCACCTCTGGCTACATCTGGCAGCAGACAAGACAATATAAATTTTCAACCTTTTTTTTTGGAGAGAATTTGAGAAGAGAGAGACATTATGAATACTTGAAAGAAAGAAAAGGACCCTCACACTTTGTGGGAGCAGCCAGCTGACTAGTCAGGACATGTAGCATGGAAGAAGCTACCATCTACCATGTCTTGCGTGTGTGTAAGTCTCCAGAAACAAGCAGCTACCAGCACTGACATGGAATGAAGAAAGTTTCTGGCAGTCACAACCTGTCACTTAAAAGAGAGATAAAGAATTGACCCACAATTTTATGTTGCTGGATTTTGGAACAGCTATGAGAGTCCTCATTTGGAAAGTCAACATGAATATTGCATCTCCTTATGTTAGGATAGTTTTCATCCCATAAAAGGCTAGCAAAATTGAAGAGATATTTTTTTTAAATTATTTTAACAAACCCATCTATCATAGAATTGTAATTGCCCGTGCTGTTTACCAAAGGCCTCCCATCAATAAATTGTCGGGACAACATTTCAGACGTGATCCACGAAGTCTAGATTTCGCGGATTTATAAGAAAGGTCATGCACTGGAGAGGAGACAGTTGTATTTGCAGAAGCTTGGCAAATCTAAATAAAGCAGGCTAACACTACCCAGCCTGCATGCTTGAGCTCTGGTTCTTCCTATTTGTGACTTTCTCCAGCTGTCGCTTAAAGTGAGATTTCACAGTTCTCTTCCAATTCTCCTGAACATGACTAGCTTGCACCTTTTTTAATGTTATATAAGTGAATTTAATATATCGTGGGGAAAAATTTCTTGTAGCAGATAAATTATCCTGGAAGGTGAAAGTGTGCTGAAGGCAACATATTTTTGAAGAACTTTTATTCATGATCAGCATCAATGTCTAAAATATATGATTTAACTTACCAAACCAGATTTAAAAGGAGCTGTAAGTAGAGCTCATAATTCAGAACTATGACACCAAATCCTTTAATTATATACTGAATTTTTCGCCTAAAACTTAAATGGCTTCAGGGATTGATGGTCTGATAGAAAGCATTTATCTTCAGGATAATATATTTAAATGTAGCCCAGAAAGCCTGAAAATCTGATCAGTGAAACAGTTTGATAGTCTTCCACTTTCCAAATAGAGGGACTGCAGTGGTAAAGCAGTGCCTCCTTGTGCTCACAAAACTCACAAAAATTGGTGTAAAAGTAGTAGCGTTGTGCACTGTTATGCAACCTTTGACATCCCTCTGAGACACACATCTGGTATGCCTGAAAGCATCTTTACCTGTTACACTGACTCTTGTAGTGTGCTGTGCAAAAAGCACCACTACTCATGATCAAAAATAGATGTATTTTGGGCTGATGGAAGCCTTTAATGCCATCTTCTGACCATGCTTAGGACATTCCTGTTTATTAGACTTCCGTTTTTTCACGTACTTTTGAAAGTGTCTTGCATATTATGACTACATGATCACTACTAGAAGATAACTTTGAACAAAACCACTGTTTACTTGCTTGTAGGTACTTCTTTTCAGAGAATCATAGAACTTTAAAGGTCATCCAGTCCAATGCCCTGCAGTGAGCAGGGTCATCTTTAACTAGATCAGGTTGCTCAGAGCCTCATCAAGCCTGACCTTGAATGT